AGTTTACTGGTGTTACAAAGCAGATCCTCAGATTGAATATTCTATCAGCTATCTATTATTGTGTATAAATTATCCCAAAACTTAGTGGCTTAAAACAGCAAATATTATTTTAGTTTCTGTGGGTCAGGAATTTTGGAGTAGCCTAGCAGAATGGTTCTGGCTCAGGTCTCTCACATTGTTGGAGTCAGAATGTGGTGGGGAGCTGGAGTCACCTACCTGATGGCTTGACTGGGGCTGGAGGATCTGTTTTCTAGATGGCTCACTCACATGCCTGTTGGCAGGAAGCCTCAGTTCCTCGCCATATTGGCCTTTCCATAGGTTCCTTGAGTGTCTTCATGACATGACAGCTAACTTCTCTGAGTCAGTCATCCAGGAGAGAAAAAGCAAGGAGGAAGCTATAGTGCCTTTTATGACCTTTATCAAGAACTGTGAAAACTCTTGAGATTTTACCCTATTTGCAGGCTACAGGTCAGCCTGCCACAGTTTCATGGATCATAGCATAAGACACAAGACTCCTGTGTGTGAGACAGAGGGCTTTATTACTTATGGTACAGCAAGCACCATGACTGCATATTTGTATCTCTTCCTCTTGCTCCCAAGTCTCACAGATGGGCCCACATGGACACCTGCACATGCAGTGGGTTCTATTATAAGAGAAGAGTCCTGAACTTAGGGAACCCAAATCTCTTATAATGGGTAATAAGCATGCCTGCCTTTGTGCTGCCTGGAAACACTATCTCCATCTCGTAAGGGTGTAAGCGAACTCCCTTTGCTCCAGAAGGAGAAACTATCTTTGTCTTTCAAGGTTGTTCACTGTATAAACATCCTTGAAATCCAGAACAAGGGGTAGTCAGTGTCTCAGCTCTCAAAACTTCCAGAAATGCAAGAGACCCATGGAGAATTATGATCTAACAACTTAGTGTCCAAAGTTGCTCACTGTCATTTCTGCTCTATTCTATTTGTGATAAATGAGTCATTTAATCCAGCCCACACTTAAGGCAAGGAGAATTAGGAAATAATTTTAGGTCTACCATTTATTTATTTATTTATTTATGTATTCATTCATTCATTCATTCATTTATTTTGGTGAGGAAGACCAGCCCTGAGCTAACATCCAATGCCAATCCTCCTCTTTTTTTTTTTTTTTCTGAGGAAGACTGGCCCTGGGCTAACATCTGTGCCCATCTTCCTCTACTTTATATGGGACGCCACCACAGCATGGCTTAACAAGCAGTGCATCGGTGTGAGCCCGGGATCCAAACCGGCGAACTCGGGGCTGCTGCAGCAGAGCACATGCACTTAACCACTTGCACCACCAGGCTGGCCCCTACCATTTTTTTTTTAATCCACTAAAATTAGCTTTTATAGCTCAGTTCTTTTCTGAGGGCTTCCGTATTTACCACTGTGCACTACAGTGGCATGAGGCATTTGGGCTCCCCATCATCCTGATGAGGGTTTGGTTTTCTCATAGCTTTCCATTCTCCACACATATGCAGCCTCTTTATTCACTATTGAATTTGGGGGGTATTTATGATCCAACTGCATTACTAGTGACATGCCTAGATCTTTGATTTTGTCCAAGCCAATATTATTATCATATGGAGCCCTGCCTTGTTACATTAACCTCTATGAGAGAGAATTTTATTCATCTTTAGAGTTTTAAAAACTGCACATAGTTGACATAGGCCCATTCTACCAGATTCCAGGCACCAATTCCTAAGCCACAATGTACTAGAAGGTGCCTGACCAATCTTTCCTCTCTCTGACCACTGGTTCCTGTTCCAAGTGGAAGTCCTCACTCCCACCACTCTGTGGACCCCACGTTGGTGTTAACGCAGGTAGGCTCATTCTTGGGACTTGCTGCTGGGCTGTACAGGTGCCAAGAACAGGATGCAGTGAACACAAACAAAAAGTGATGCTTAATATTATAACAGCCACATTTCTATTTTAAATACTTCCCACTCCCTATCCTATAGGAAAAACAGCCATGAGGTATGAATTTTATGATATTTGGAAACTAGTAGAAAAGTTATTGGAAAAGTAAATTCTAGCACTTAGTGAAGTACCTTAAATCAGGACTGAATAACTGGAAATTCAGTAAAGGCATATAGCTACAATTCCTACCAGATGTTAGCTACATGTTAAGTGTATGCTTATAATTAAAAATAGCCAATATCAAAGTAAAACATGTGAATGTTAGTAACTCCAAACTTGATTAAATTCAGTATTCTTTTATGCATTATAATGAATAATTATGCACTTATTAACTTCAAAAATACAAAGATAGAGGTTATTAGCTGTTCTAGATCAGTGTTTTTCAAACTGTGGCTCATAGCCCCTTTGTGTGGTGAAATCAATTTAGGGGGTTGCAACCACATTATTCAAAAATGAAAGACAATAGAAAATAGAGTATGTTTCATAAGGGTTAGTCTTGTTTTGTGAAACTTTTATTTCCGTTTTTATGTGAGGGTGTATCCTGGGTCACAATATAAAATGTGTGTCATGGTCAAAAAAGTTTGCAAGCCACTGTTAAAGACTTTGACACTTAGTACCAATAAATGTAAATGGCTGTCTTTTGAAGAAACTATATAGCTGTTTAGAGTTTCTGACTTTGTGAGGTGTTCACTTTGTAGATGTGAAGAAAACAAATCTCGGAGCAAGGATGATTATCAAGCTGCAGTAGAAAGATTAATTATGGCTGCTCGTATATCGGATCCAAAGCTTTTCATTAAGCACATGACCGTCAATGTTAATAAGGAACAGGTTTATAGTTTGGAACAGTGTTCTGCCCTGAAATGGTTGAAAGAGAATATGAAGTGGGCTGGAAAGGTTTGGCTTTTCAGTAACCATTAGTTAGCTAATAAAGGATTTTTTTTTTTTTAAGTTCAAGTAATCATTGTTGAAAATAAAAGGCAATAAAAATAAAGGCAGTTTTCACTATACTCAGCTTTTGCCCCTTTATTGACTTACAGTAAGTAGTTTTCAAACACTATTTCAACAAAATTTCAAACAAAATTTTGATTGTATCCAATTTATACTGGTTTTACCCACACTGAAAAGTCACTTGTCAAATTACTTGACTTCTCTTTAATTTAGGTAAACCTAAGTATAGTAAATCCCTATGTATTCTGAAATCCAAACAATGAAAAATCACAAACTGAATATTGTGCAGCATTTAATAAGAGGGAGACGTAAAAGGGAAACTATACAAGGAGGTAACTGGAGTTTTCAGAAAAACCTTTAGGGGTATGAAATAGGTTTAGTGTATACTCAGTCCATTTTCTAAAGTTTATTCTACATCTGTAATCTAGAATAATATAATATTGAAAAATGACTCAAACACTAAAATTCCAGAGTACCTTCTGAGTTATACCAAAAAATTTTAAATTACCCTCTGAATAGTTTTCCTTTAGTGTATTTTAGAATACAATATGTATTTTGAAAATTTGTAATTTATGAATGTTAGATTAGCTATAACTAAAGAAAACAGTATTTTAAACAAATATACCAGAACTTAAATGTCCAAACAAGGATGTCCCTTTCAAACTACCTTAAGAAGTTAAAAGTCCTTTTTTGAGGTCATCTCCAGAATCTGTAGCAGTCATTCTCCAAGCTGGTCATCCTCAATCCTTAAGAAAAAAGTCTGACTAAAATGAGTTAACAAAAGAATAAGTCGTGACTAGGGGGACTGAAAGTATTTCTTAAAGGAATTCCCCAAATATGGTAATGGCAGCATCACTGGAATAAGTCTATAACCTCACAAGTTAGCGCTTAGCAAACTGCCTTAATATGATGAAATGTGGAGTGAATACTATCATGAATGGGAAATGGGAAGTGAGGGAGAAGGAGAAGTCGAGAAAGATGCCCAGTTCTCTAATATGAACAAACTGGGTGACTATAACTGCCATTACTTAAATGTGACACCTAGGAAATTTAGGTTTGGAGATTACTACCATCAGTTTGAGGTGCCTTTGAGGACAAGTGGAGAATGGTGAGTTATGTCTTTTCTGTAAGTGGTAACTGAAACCCAAAGAAAGGAATTAGAGAAATATGAGACTTTAGATGCTGGTGGCAAGGATGCATTTGAAAGGATGAAGATGCGAGAAATGATAAACTTTTAGGAAAAATGGGATTGGATGGAATGAATCACAAGTGACCACACTGTTTCTAATGAGAAGAGCCTTTAGGGCTGGAACAAATAGAGGCTTTTTTTTTTTTTTTTGCCTCAGTCAACGGTGCCAAAAGGTAGAAAAGGGAAAAGAGCAGTTATTGTATTTGCCTAATTTCATGTGTGGCAGTTTCTGGGGGTAATCAATGTCACAGAAGGAAAAATAAAGCTAACAGCAAAAAACCCAAGCTGATATTGGAGAATACTCAGGGTTTTGCAAATAGCCAGATATTGAAGGGGCCGAAGTCAAAAGGAAAATGCAAACCGGAGAAATTTCTAAAAATCAGCTCTATTTACGTAAGCAAAACCAAAGGACATACTTCAACAAGACCTTTAAAATCTGTAGTTCTCAACTGGTTCTCAACTGAGAGTCGTCCTAAGGCGTAAGCTCTGCGGGCGGATCCGCTGAGCCAGCCTCGCCCCCTCCCAGGGCGCGGGAGTCCGGGGACTGGGGATATGGGACCGAGGCGGGGGACAGCCCGGCGCATGCGCGCGCCCTCCAGCCGCCCTCTCTCCTCGTCCCCCAGCTCCAGGCTCCAGCGCGTGCTCAGTCGCCCTTCGGTCCCCGCCCTCCCCACTGACCCTCGGGCCAGGCTCCGCCACTTGCCGCCTAATCATGTTCCGACTACCTCCGGCCTAGTCCTTCATATCTTGGAGTGCTCATTCGCGCCTCCGACAGCTCTCAGCGGAGGGCGAGGAGCCCACTCCGGCCGGCGGTAAGGAGGCGGAGGGACCGGGGCTTCAGAGCTGCGGCGAAGAAGGGGCGGTCACCTCGGCGCTGACGTCAGCGCGGGCGGAGTACTGCCAAGGCTTTTAACCCGCGTCTCTGCTGCGCGCAGGCGCTCCAAGGAGGAAGGCCTGGCACGCTTCAGCCAATGAGCCGGTTCCGGTGCCCGGACTCACCTCTAGCGACCCGCCGCGGGAGGCGGCAGATGGACGAGAGGAGGAGTGCGCGCCCGGCTGAGATTTCAGGGGTGGGGGCTCAGAGAGCACTGCGGGTAGGAGTCTCCCAGAGCCTGTCTGCAAGCGGGGCGAGCGCAGGCGGGAGCGCCGAGCCTTGTGGCGCGCGCGCTCCCTGGCCGAGCCGGCGCCCCGGTGCGCATGCGCCCCCACACCGCTCTGCGGGAGGAGTGGCTGTCCTCCCTCCCGGTCCTGGGTGGGAGGTGGAACAGGTCGGAGAAAGCCCTCGCGGCGGACCCTTGCCAGAACTGTAAGAAGCAGGAGGGGAGGGGCTCCAATTGTGCCTTCAGGCCGCTCGGGGCAGAAGGGGCGGTCGGGACGGGCCGCGCACGGAGTCACCTTAGCTCGACGTGCTAACTTTTGAACTGAGGGGATGCCAGGGGCCGGAGGATCCGCATCGCATCTGTTTTAACTTGAAATGAGAAACCAAAGACGATTTCGGTTTTATTGTTTCCGGCTATAATATTTCCCCGAAGTCTTTGACTTATCATAGGAAATTGTTATAATTTAAGTCTCATAGCAAAAGATTTAGAAAAGGAAGCTAAAGAATCTAGCTACTTTGCTCTAGCTATAATTTATTGATTTATCTAATAGGACTTCCTGCTTTTGCTTTTTCTTTGCCTTTTTCCTTTTCCTAAGAAGTATTTAACTGAAAAGCAATGAAAAATTGCCTGCTTTTATCCCTCCTTGATGGAACAAACTGCTTTTTAAAACCTTACAAGATAGTTACTAAGAGAAGTCACAGTTAAAATGAGAGTAGCCTGAGGATATTAACTTTGTTAAAATAAGTTACTTTCAAATAAAAATTGTGCCAAATGGCCAAAGATCAGTCCTAGGACCTCTGTTTGGCAGACACTGTTTCTGTATCTATCAAAAGTAGTTTAAGCAAAACAAAACAGTTTTTCTTAACCCATAATTTGGCTTTTCCACCAATTTAGATATCTCTACCAAATTTGGTTTGAAACTGCACAGAAGATTTAATGCCTCGCTTAGCACAGAATTTAGGTTAAAATCAGATATTTTCATTTTATGAAATAGAAGCTAACATCACTGTTACATGGATTACGCAGCCATTTACAATGGTTTGTAAATGAATTGTGTCCTTCCCTATCTTCCACCCTCCATCCAAAGAGGACACCATCTCCTTGGAAGAGACCTTCCAGAGCCCCCTATTCTAGATGTAGCAGCTGGGAGTTTCCCATAATACTCTCTGCGTGGCTGTGTCATTTCATTTACTGCATTGTTTTATAATTTTCTGCCTGTGTCTGGTTTTCCACTCCCTCCCTCTCTTCTAGACTGTAAGTTTTTGGAGAAGTGGAATTGTCTTAATGTTTTTCTATTCCCAGTACTTTGCATAGAGCTTGACACTCAAGTGGTAAATGCCTGTTGATGAACAGGGTGAATTAAGGACCCAGAGTGCCTCCCAAGTCTGATAAGACAGTATAACCTTTTTAGTTATTTTGTAGCATGCCTGAGGCCTTTTCTCCGCGGAAGGATAGGGGGCTACCTGTAATGTGTACAAGAACCACTCATGTAAGAATTTGTCTGAAGACAGGAACCTGCAGTTGACCTAGGTGCCCCGGGCTTTCGCACTGTTTCTCATTAGCGAATGAGAGCACTGTACTCTCCTCTGAAGCAGCGTGTCTTCAATCTGGTGGTAGCATTTGATTTTCTGTCGCTTCTCCTATAAGGGAAAGAACTGCAGATCTGAATCTTCTAGTCTTCTTAGCAGTTATATTTCTCATAGTAAATTAAGAAGTTGACGTTGTAGTTATTACTCAGGCCCCTTATGATTTCGTTTTCCCAGTGCCTGTTTATTTCTGCCTGAAGTGATAAAATTGGGTTCTTGGTCTTGCAGTGATGAGGACTGAACTGACCCCAGGATCCGTGCCACATGAAAGGGCAAGCAGCTGGCTGTGCTTTAACCTTGTTTCCACTGAGAATTTTTTTTTTTAATCTCAAGGATTGGGTAAACCATACAGGAAACAAAGAAAGCTAGTTCCAGCAAAACTTAAAATCTTCATGTGATTTTTAGCATACAATTGAGTACCTAAAGATCATTTCCTAAGTTTGTATTAAACAAGTATTTTTAAAGAATTAAAGCTTAAAAGTTTCCTAACAGACCCCTCACTCCTGTAAAATGTAAGGAAATCAGGATTCCCTAAAGCAGTGGTTCTCAAGCTCGAGAGTGCATCAGAATGTGGAGGGTGTTTTAAAAGATTGCTGGGCCCCACCCAGTTTCTGATTCTGCAGGACTGGGGTGGGCCTGGTACTTTACATTTCTCACAAGTTCCCAGTGATGCTATTGCTGTTTTGAAAACCACTGCCCCAAAGGTTGTTTTCTGTTTTTTTTTCCTTCTCTTTCTTCCCTTATCCCTTTTATCTTTTACAAAGCTGGATCCTGATCTGATCATGCCTTCCCTGTCACTTAGTTGTCAGATCCTACTCTTAGAGGAGAGCTTAAGGGAAAGACTCAAAAAACTCATAGGACTCCAAGGGGAAACCATCCATTTAAAAATTTGTTCAATTTTCTCCAATGATTTAAGTAGGAAATGATCATCTTAGAACAATAATTTGGTTGATAGAATTAGTCACTGAATATCTTTTTTATGTATGTAAGCATTTTCGAATAGAAATAAGAATTGGCCACCATTGAGGAAGAGGGAAGGATTGTTGGCAAAAGGAAAAGAAGTCACATTCCCTCTCATATTGTGCCTCCACCTCCCAGTTGAGAAGCACTGCCTTTATTAATTCATAAAAAAGGCAATTCCCACAGCACAGTATAACCGTATTATACCCACTTCAGTTCTTTTTTTTTGGAAAAGAAATGCTACTGTCATGAAAACTCGTCTTTTTATTACTTAGCAAGTGCTGACTTTGTCTTTGAATAATAAAAATAAACACCATGTTTATTTGTTCTGATAGATTCAATTTTTCCCTAAAGTTTGTGAAATTAAATCGTTCATTTGTACTTTTGACTTGCCCTGTATTTTTTAAGACTTTGAGACATTGATCCCTTATTGCGAAATTCTGAATTTTCCAATCACAAAATTTGTTTTCAGTTGTATTTAATTGCGTGTGCTAGCTATATGTAAGTCCTCAGTAGGAGGGGAAAAAAGAATTCTGCAGTATTCTGTACATCCTGAATTACATAATGATAATAGTTGCCACTTTTACGAATTTTCTATTTGCCAGATGTTGCTAAATCCCTTATATACATTATTTTACTTGTTTCGCAAAATCCTATGAGATAGGTAGCTCCTGCTTTCATACATAATGTATTCCTAAAAACATGTACAGAAGTCTGATGTGGGATTCCATATCCAGAGAGCTAAAAATAATTATAATGTTCTAGACTACATTTCACCTTCTAGAAACAGTCTTTAATGAATATTTCCAGCATTTTATGTGTCTTTCAACATTTTTTCTTAAATACAGAGTGCAGATAACTTCAGTCTAGTGAGCATCAGATAAAAGCCAAACAATGATACATATATTTATTGTTTCGTTTGTATTAACTTTGTCGGTCCTTATTGCTAATATTAGAATTGTAATTTTTCCTTTTCTATAAAATAAAGACAACTCAATAAAATGTTCTCTAACTGAATAGACATTTTCTGTAATAAAGATAAAGCTTCTGACTAACTACTCTTGTCTAGCAGATTGTAGCATCATGTTAGCTTAAAGTATTCTCTCAGTTAATGAAAATTTTTAAATTCCGAATTAAAGGATAAAGAGGTGACAATACATATTATACAGGTGTTTCTGCTATAATGACATATATGCATTCCAGGAAATCCTGACATTCTGCAGGATAATACACTAAAATAACAATGTTTATGGGGAAAAAATACACTCCACTCTAAACAAGATGTGGAAATCTCTAGCATTTTCATCTGCACTAGCAGCTGCCCGGGTTGCTTGATGTCATGGAAAATGCACTTGAAGCCACTGACCATCTGCTTCTTAAACCAAAGGAAGGAAATATTGGGAGATTTTCAGGTTTTTTCCCTAAGGTCTTTACATGTAGCTAAAGCCTTCTTTGCAATTGTAGAAAGCCCACTTCTGGTCACTTCGAATCATTAACATGGTGGGGCAAAAATGCATGTGGTATAACATCTTTCCCCTGTTTACGGAGTGCACATAAGCTAAATCACATTAAAGAAACTTTTTTTTAGCAGAACAGATTGCTCTTGGACCATCTGTGTTACTTACTAGATGAGAAAACAGACTCAGGAGGGTGAAATAACTTGCCCTTGCTCACACAGCTACTCAGTGCTGGAGTCAAGGCTTGAATACAGATCTCAGACACTCCGGCCTCCCTTCCCTCACCATTGTACAGGCTGCCTTCTCCAACAGTGCCATGTTCCCTTAAAGCGCTTTTGCCTTGCGTTGACTTACATCACCGCAGTCCTATGGAAATATAATGTGAGCCGCAGATGTAATTTTTAATTTTCTAGTAGTCAGTTGCAAAAGACCATTAAAACCAGGTTGTCTTTTACTTTTAAAAAAGCAAAAAGACATGAAATTAATTTTAATAAATTATTTCAACTTCTAATCAAGATAAAAAAGTATTAATGAGATACTTTGTATTCTTTCTTTGTACTAAATCTTTCAAATCCCATGGGTACTTTACACTTAAAACACTTCTCAAATGTGGAGTAGCGGCATTTCAAGTGCTCAGTAGCCACATGTGGCTAGTGCTGCCTTACTAGACAGCACAGGCATAGATTCTAATTCTCCTCCTCTACTGCCCTGTGAACCTTTTTAGGAAAGAAGACTACTCAGAAAAAAAGCTGGCAGAAAACACCTAACTCTTCACCTGTAAGAGCCTAATTTTTTTTTTAGAGTCCTCTCTAAATCTAGAAACCATGATTTTATGCTCAGACTTGTATTCGAGAACATTTTATTTCCGCTGGGAGAAATCTGTTGTCACTGTTCCAAGTATTAATGTCCTTTATTAGTCATTGCTCAGTAGTGGTTTAGTTATACCCTATGATTACAAGTGAACAGTGAATGAATAATTTTCGTAAACAAC